TTCTTTCTTTTCTCTCTTCTTCTTTTCTGGTGGAGTTATGTCAAACTTCTCAGAACCATATTTTTGTAAAAGTTCTTTGTCATTTAATAGCTCTTCTATTCTGTTTTCTATTTTATCTTCAAGAACAGTGCATGTGTCTTCTTTGCATTCTAAGAAGTTTTGTTGGACTTCATCTCTCCAAGAGGCGTCATCTCTGTCAACAAGTCTGTCATTGACAAATTTTAAGACTTCTCTGCTTAATGTTTTATGGTTCTTGTCATATTCCCAGAAACAGAACTTTAGAACAAATTCACCTTTCTTGTTTACACTATGTAAGATTTTATGGTCGACAGATGTTTTGCTGTCGAAAAGCTTGTCTCGAATATAGATGGCGAAATCGCTAGACATTTTCAAAAAGATAAAAATTTTAATTTTTCTAAAAATATGTTAGAAAAAAAGTTTGCTGACATTGACAAAAAATTTGAGAATGTTTTAAACAAGAACAAGAGGAAGTTGGAAAATGCTCAGATAAAGCCTATACATGAAAAGTTCTTATTTGCTCAGAATGGTATAACAGGTCTAATTGCACCGCCTGGGTCGGGTAAGACTTTCACTTATCTTAAAATGGCTGCACAACAACAAGAACTAGATGAGAAGAACCCATTCTATGAGTTAGTTGTTATTTGTAGTACTTCTGGTCAATTTGACCAAACCGTCAATTCGTTCAAAGATATTATAAAGAAGTCTAAGTTAGTATGTATAAAGGATACTGAGTTGTTAGATTGGATAAAGAAGTACCAAAGAAGAGTTTTGAAGTACAATGCTATAAATGAGTATATAAATTCGAAGTTTAAAGACCCAAATGAGGAAATGCAGAGAATATTAGAGAAGAAACACTTCAGAAACAAACAGAAAGAGATAGAATACATTTCGAAGAAATTGCAATCTTACGATTGGAAGACATACCCTCATAGGTGTCTTCTTATCTTAGATGACTTTGCTTCTCATCCTTTGTTAAAGAACAGAGAACAAGATATGTGTCGAATTCTTAAGAAGCTCAGACACTTTAACATCTCAGTTGTCATTTGTGTACAGACAGCAAAGAGTTTAAGTAAGGATGTAAAGAGAATACTTACTGACATAATACTTTTCCCTGGATTGTCCGAAGACGATTTCATGGAACTTATGAAAGAGTCCATGGCAGGTAAGTTTGACAGACATGAACTATGGGAGAAGTACAAAGTCATACAAGACCCTCATACTTCTTTCAGAATTCATATCTACGCGAACAAAGTTCAAATTGTAAAAAGTCAAGCGTAAAAATGTAAGTGTTTGGTCTTAGTCTGTTGTGGTTCTGCAGCTTTCGGTTCTTCTGGCTTTGGAAGACATTCAGGAAGAGGAACGTCAGTCATCCGTTTGTGTCCCGTCGGAAGGAAGGACTCGGAATGTCGGAAGGAAGGACTCGGAATGTCGGAAGGAAGGACTCGGAATGTCGGAAGGAAGGACTCGGAATGTCGGAAGGAAGGACTCGGAATGTCTGAAGGAAGGACTCGGAATGTCGGAAGGAAAAACTTTTTCTGAAGTTCGACCAAAAAGTTCTCAATTTTCGAAAATTTGAATGGTTTACGGACGAACAACAGGAAATTTTTTTCCAGTTGTCGGGAAATTTTTTTCTTGTCGGAAGGAAGGACTCGGAATGTCGGAAGGAAGAACTTGGAATGCCAGAAGGATTTGACAAGACAATTTACCTTATAGAGCTACCTGAGCCATCTGAAGTCAAGCGTAAAAATAAATGGTTCATCTACTCTGCTTGTTTGAAGTTGTCAAAATACTCTGTTATTTTTTCCTTTAACAATGGCAAATCTTCTTTGAATGTAAGAATTGTACAACCTTTCATATCATAGTGTGTTTGAGGTAACGTATCTTGAACTATTTGTTTCACATCTTCATTCGGTGTCATTGAAATCGGTAAGTTTTCGCGATAGAACCAATTTCTGTCAGATTTGTAAATCTTAGCAAGGTCGTAAAAGCTTTTGTTGTTTCTTCTGACTAAATGCAACATAACCATATCTCTGTCTTCTTCATTTTCCATCTCTTCAGTATAAATCATATACTTATAGTTCTTTTCCTTTCCTTTTGGTACCGAACGTGGTATTCTTTTCTGAATGCTTTTGTCTTTTGCTTCAATGACTTCATCTTTTGCTTGAAGTTTCTTTTCCATCTCTTCACGTTCTTGTCTATGAATTTCGTCAAGAAGTTTACAAACATACCAAGCATAACGAGGTGAAGCCCACATTGCAACAGCATTTACTAAAAGTCTATGTACATACCAGCCTCTCAAACCATTTGGCAATTTTTCACGATTTTCATAGAGTTTTGGCGACTGGGGTTTTTTACCTACTCGCTGTTCTTCACTGTTTTCAGAAAAAAGTATGTCTCGCTGTGCTTCGCTCAAAAGTTCTTGTGTGCTTTGGTTCCTAAACCAGTCTTTAGGAAGCTTAGTATCTGGAGCAAAACATGCTGTCAAAATACTTTGCATTTGGTACATGTCATCTTTGACCGAACGAATGAGACGGAGTTGTTTGTTATACTGTATGTACTCGTATTCTTCATTTATGTCTTCATGAACGATAGCAGTTGTTGTGTTCTCTGATGTTGACATATCTGTCTTTACATACAAAATAAAAAAATAAATAAAAATAAAACTAACTTTATTTTTTCTATCTTAAGGAAATTCATGATTTTTGTTGCTGAATTCAATAAAAATAATGTTTAGGTGAAGAGGTGAAGCCCACATTGCTACAGCATTTACAAGAAGTCTATGTACATAATATCCTCTCAAACCGTTTGGCAATTTTTTACGATTTTCATGAGTTTTAGGCAAGACCGATTTTTTACCTACTCGCTGTTCTTTTACGATTTTCATAGAGTTTTAGGCAAGACCGAAAAAAACCGGTCTAGAGAAATTTCACTCAAAAGTTCTTTTGTCTGTTGGTTTTCAAACCAATGACGTGCTTGCTTTGTAGAACGAAGAGCAGTCAAAATACTTTGCATTTGGTACATATCGTCTTTGACTTTCACAAAAGACCAAAAATAAACGCTTTACATGTATTTTTCAGCAACTTCGTCAAATAATTTTATAGCTTTATCTATCTCATCTACTTCAAACGTTTCCCTACCTTTCGTGGGAGCACCATACATTTTCTCAAACTTTTCAAGTAGTTCTGTTTCTGCAGCTCTCATATCATTAGCAAACACAACCTTGACTCTATTGACTGTACTGTCATATCTTTGAGTTATATTATATGTTCTTCCTATCTTATATCTCTTTGTATTGAAGTCCTTCGGTTTCTGAACGATGTAAAGTAAGCCTTCACTGCAACGTTCTGAGTCGAATAAACCATATGTTATGAAGTTATATCCAACAACTGGGTCTAACCATAACAAAACTATTGGTATAAGACTTTTGTCAATGAGATATGCTGCAGTTCCATAGAATCTTACCGATATCATAAGCTCAGGATTTCTTGTCAAAATTTTCTGAGTTGAAGCAATTCCAACCCAATGGTATGTTTTCTTTCCAGATGGAGATAAAATGTCTGACAAAGAATATTTGTTGTATTTCTTTGAGTATCTTACGTTTAAATCACCTATTCTAACCAATTTGGTGTCATTGTCTATCTTTCTAACTGTTTCAAACTCAATGTTTGACATTTTCTGTCCTTACATACAAAATAAAAAAATAAAAAAAATAAACTAACGTTATTTTTTCTATTTTGTATCTTAAGGAAATTCACGATTTTCATGTATAAAAGATATGATTTCAGGGATTTTTTTACGAAGTGTTAAAGTTCACTTCGTCAAAAATAACAGTTATATAATGAAATTTGGTCATTTTTTCACGATTTCAGGGATTTTTTTTACGAAGTGTTAAAGTTCTCTTCGTCAAAAAATAACAGTTATATAATGAAATTTAGTCATTTTTTTACGATTTTCATGAGTTTTAGGCGACCAGGTTTTTTTCCCTACTCGCAATTTTTTACGATTTTCATGAATTTTCATGATTTCATCGTAAATGTTTTGTCAAAACTTCTTCGTAAATGTTTTGTCAAAACTTCTTCGTAAATGTTTTGTCAAGACTTCTTCGTAAATGTTTTGTCAAGACTTCATCGTAATGAGCGTAAATGACCAAAAAATAATGTTTAGGTGAAGAGGTGACATCTCACCTCTTTTTTCACCTGTTTTCTCACCTCATGAATTTTCATGATTTCATCGTATATGTTTTGTCAAGACTTCATCGTATATGTTTTGTCAAGACTTCATCGTATATGTTTTGTCAAGACTTCATCGTATATGTTTTGTCATGACTTCTTCGTAAAGACTTTGTCAAAATGTCATCGTATATGTTTTGTCAAGACTTCATCGTATATGTTTTGTCAAGACTTCATCGTATATGTTTTGTCAAGACTTCTTCGTAATGAGCGTAAATCAGACAAAAATAATGTTTAGGTGAAGAGGTGAGATGTCACCCGTTTTCTCACCTCTTTTTTCACCTCAGTTATTTTATAAGCGTTTTACATGAATTGTACGATGTATATTTGAAATCCTAAACAATTTCGTAGCTTCTATTTCTTCTTTTAGTATGTCAAATGTTTTAACAATGCCGAAGGTTTCTTTATACTTCTTCTTGACGTCAGATAGAAGGAAATCGTCAGCTGTTGGATAGTTTTTGTTCAGAAATGCTAACATGTCCATTTTATCTTCTGCTGGTTTCTCTACTTCTTTCTTTAAGTCTGCATAGTCGTTTCGCATACGTTCTATCTCTTTGACGGAGTAGTTATATTTCCTCATTGCTGCTTTACATTTAGAACATTGCGGGTTCATTTTTGCGTTATATTCTGAAACCTTACCTGCTAAAACAACCAAGGCGTCAATGGTTTTCTTTAAATCTGAAGCAGTTGGTCTTATCTGTTCATTCCATACCCCACCCCTTTTATCTTTATCTCTTATCTGCCATACACATTTTGCAGCTAATGAAACAAAGTTGTCGTATGTCTTAAATTCTTCGGATTTGTAAAGGTCAGAAACATTCTTATATACCATATCGCAATCTTTGTCCATAACTTTATGGTTGCAATGAAAACCAAGGAATTCATAATTTACCTTTCGTATGAACTTCTTTATTTCTACCGAGTCAGTTGCTTTGACTTCAATTTCGTCAAATTCGGGAATGGTTAGTTTTTGTTGTTGGATTTCAGGCAATTTGGGTAAATGGTCAATAATGTCCTGCATTTCATAAAGATACTGTTCATTTGTTTCATCCTGTGCGGTACAGTCTAAATTACTTGTTAAAAGTTCTTGCTTTATCTTCTGGATTTCTGTTTCGAAAGTATATGAAGAAGGAATGAAGCTTTTCATTTCTACTAACATTGAAGTTGGGTTCATGACTAACGAGTTTGGTGCTGTTGTTGTTTGTATTGTTGTTGTGCCGATTGTTGACATTTCTGTTCTTTTATACAAAATAAAAAAAATAAATAAAAATAAAACTAATTTTATTTTTTCTATCTTAAGGAAATTCATGAAAATTCATGAAAATTCATGAGGTGAGAAAACAGGTGAAAAAAGAGGTGAGATGTCACCTCTTCACCTAAACATTATTTTTTGGTCATTTACGCTCATTACGATGAAGTCTTGACAAAACATTTACGAAGAAGTCTTGACAAAACATTTACGAAGAAGTCTTGACAAAACATTTACGAAGAAGTCTTGACAAAACATTTACGAAGAAGTTTTGACAAAACATTTACGATGAAATCATGAAAATTCATGAAAATTCATGAAAATTCAAGAGGGTGAGAAAACGGGTGAGAAAACGGGTGAGATGTCACCTCTTCACCTAAAATATATTTTTACTGAATTTAGCAACAACTTTCTCTCAATTGGAGCTGTGGCATACTCTTTGCGTAAGCGGTTCAGACCTTCTTCGAAGTCTTGGTCTCTCTTCGATTTGTATTGAGATTGGAATTGCTGGAACATCCAAGGGTTGGGGAAGTAAGGCATAAGCTGAGGAGGGTAGTAACCTTGAGGTGGAAATTGGTAGTAACCTTGAGGTGGAAATTGGTAGTAATTTGGATTGAGGTGGAAATTGGTAGTAATTTGGTGGAGGTACTTGTTGGAACTGAGGAGACTGTTGTGGTGCTTTCGGTTCTTCTGGATTGAGATTGGACTCGGTTGGTGGGACGTGGGACATTCGTTGGTGGCTTAACCGTCGGACCACAACGATAAAAATCTCTGCTACTAGCAGTACTTTTACTGACAGTAGCAGTACTTTTACTGACAGTAGCAGTACTTTTACTGACAGTAGCAGTACTTTTACTGACAGTAGCAGTACTTTTTCTGACAGTAGCAGTACTTTTACTGACAGTAGCAGTACTTTTACTGACAGTAGCAGTACTTTATCGTCGAAAACCCTCTCAAATTTTCCTTTTTACTGCAACTAGCAGTACTTTTACTGACAGTAGCAGTACTTTTACTGACAGTAGCAGTACTTTTACTGACAGTAGCAGTACTTTTACTGACAGTAGCAGTACTTTTTCTGACAGTAGCAGTACTTTTACTGACAGTAGCAATGGACAACATCGAGCCATTAGATGAGGCAATTTACCTAATTTAAATTAACGACTGCGTAAAAGACTACTTGCGCAAGGTCATGAAGCCCAAGGTCAAGTTCACCACTATTTCTGGAAGGGCTGCCTTGACTCTCGAGATTTCGACTGGAATTCCAATTCAAATACCAGACGGGACAGCCTTCGACGACATAAAGCAAGCAAAGAAGGAAGCCATTATAAAGTTCTTTGCCAAACGTCCTTGGATACTACTTCCAAACAGAGAGAGTCCAATTCCACGAATTATACAAATTCTCAAGGGTCTCCTTCACTTCTCGGGTCAACCATTCTACATAACCTCAGAAGGCGACATCCAACCAGTTCAGTAAACATCTCATTTTAACTCCACTTTTTTATGTTTTTTGTGAAAGTGTCAAAAATAAATTGTTTTCATGAGTTTTCTACGATGTTAGAAAAAATGTTATTTTCTAATATCTTCACATTCAATACTTTTTCAGCACTTTTCCGTAGTTATATATGAAAGACAATTCGAGATAAAAGTCATAGTACAATGGTATTATATGCTGCACACCATTTGTTGTGAACCAAACTTGAAAGTCAGAGAAACTGTTACTAGGTGGTTCGTAGAATTTAGAAGCAAAGTCATAAAAGTCCTTACCAATACATAGAAAACCATTGTTGCTTGAACTGAAACTTGCATGACACATAACATTTTGAGGGTCAAACACGTTTCTATAAACTGTCAAATCTGCTGGTGGAAGTATAAATTTAAATGGACCATCTGGTGGTAATGGTTCGTTCTGGTTTAGTAACCGAAGAAATTGTGCCCAAGAACGTTTGTCTACTCCCCAATATAAAAACTCTGTATCTCTTGGAGGGTTAATTTCAATCTTTTGAAATGAAACGGTGGAGTTCATCTTGTCATATTCTAGTTTCAGATAGTATGTTCCATTTAGTAAAGAGTCGTATTTTTTTTGAAATTCCCAATAATATTTGTTTATTTGAGTTTGAAAGTCATTTAGAGTTTTCTCAAGACTTTCGTCTGAACGAACTGTAAAGATTCTCATTTCGTCAAATCTGTCTATTAGACCATCAGAACCTTTATACTGCCCATGAAAATCTACTGTGAACATAAACGCGTTAGTTCTATTTGAAAACAAAACTCTTCTAAATCCTATTGCCTTTGCATCTGAAGGACTTTGAAGCCAACGAATTGGATAGTCAAACCTGTATACTCGGGATGAAATTTCTTCATCTGAAATATTCCTACCAGCATTTGTAAAGATATAGTCTAACGGTTTTGTATCTGCTACTTTTGTTCTTTGTTTTTCAACCTGAAGCATTTTATATATGTAAAAATATACTGTTTTAAAATGGTATGCCATTTCATATTTCTCATCTAACAAACAAGTTTCCCAACGGTCTGCTCCAACAAAACTCAGCGTACATTTCAAATAAAATAAAAAAATATTTTTTTCTTTACTTTACATAACTGCCTGAAGCCATAAGTCTTTGACGCCAACCCATACCAGCTAATGAAGGTTGACTTGGTTTAGTTTGGAAACTAAACTTTGGTTTTGGTTTATCTTCAGTTTTTGGTTTTTCTTCTTCTATCGGTTTTTCGTCACTTTTCGGTTCCTCTGACTTTACCTCACTTGCAGGTATGGTTGTGTCGTCAACATCTTCATAAATATCATATGCCATTTGTTTTTGTTTTCCTTTCAACTTTTTGTGTTTGTTGTAAAGTTTAGAATATTTCGACTCTAAGTCAATGAGATGTTCTATAATGAACTGTTGGTCAGTGAAGTAAACTTTTCCATCTGTTGTCTCGAAAGCTCCTCCAGACTTCAATATTTTATTTGTGAGAGTCTGTTTCTTTTTTGAGATACTAGCCGTTCCATTTCTATGAAAAGTGACTTTATAGTTAGGGTTTGTATTTCCAGACCTTGCACCTTCTATTATTGAATTTTTCTCTTCATCTGTAAGTTCTTTGACAGGTTTTGACAATGGTTCTGAACTTTTTGTTTGTGGTGTCAAATCTACCGTTTCAACTTCTTCGGTCATTTCATCTCAGTAAAAAAATTTAGTTTGGTTTGTTTTCAACTGGTTGTTTAGGTTTTTTAAGTCGGTCTAAAACTTCCTGAGGTATAGGAAGAACTTGACAAACACGTGGTTGTGTAACTGCTGGAAGTCGACAAATCCATCTTGAACCCATTTGTCTCAATGCTGTATTGTTCATTTCATCTCAGTAAAAAACTTTACATTCTCCAAGTTTGAGGCGGTTGAGGTTGGTTATTGTTTACCCATTGTTGTGCATGGTTATATCCTCTGTTAAAGAATCTTTCACCTTGGTCCATATAGTGTCCTGCTTGGTTATAGTAGTCATTTGCTTTGTTATAATAGTTTCCTGCTTGTCTTCCTACATTGTCCATCCATCCTTGAACTTTTCCTCTTGTTTCAGGATTTGGAATAAGATTTGTTGCATCTCGTGCTACATCCCAACCTTTCTGTACAGTTTGTATAATAGGTTGTGCTTTCTCTTTAAGTATACCTAATGTACTCAAAATCTTCCTTCCAACTCCAAATACACCTCTGGCTATTGTTCCCACTGCGGGCAAAAATCTAGATGCAACTCCTGCTAATGCGCCAAATAAACCCATTTCTTACAGGGTAAAAAATGACGAATCCAAACAAGGACCCCTATGTTTCTAAAGCAACAAAGAAAGCACTCATGGTAAAAATCTTTAGTTCAACACCAAATGCTTGGTTTATGGATATCTTGGAAAACATTCCGAGAGTTAGAACAGATGGACCACCATACTGGCTAATATTTGTCGGTCAAAACACAAGATACTGTGAAGCCATACCATTATGGTCCAAAAATATTTTAGATGTGAAAACTGCTTTGACAATATTTGTTGACAAATACCATCCAACAAAACTGACATCTGACCAAGAAAGTTCTTTCAAATCAGACGATATTAAAAACTATCTGCGTTCAAAAAATGTAAACCAATATTTCATTGTCGACCAAAACCATTCTGCTCTTGGTGTCATTGACGGTTGTATAAAAATATTAAGAGACTTAAACCAACCACAAGGTGGTGAGGTAGATGAAATGTCATATGACGACAAATATAGACACTTCTCCATGGCAAAGATGAGACAAGTTTTAAATATTTACAATAGCCGTAAACAAAAAGGTTTGGGAAACCACTCCCCCGAAGAAATGAAAAACAACCCTGACTTAGAGAAAGACTATATATTTAATAATTTAGTCAAAAGAGACAAACAAGAAAGAATGCCGGGCTTCAAACTTCAGAAAGGTGACAAAGTAAAAATAGAAATACCTAAACGCGACCCATATGAAAATACTATTGACTATGACAACAATGGGAACCCGACAGGTACTCACATTCGTGTTCGTAAAAATAGAAGAAAGTATACAAGAGAATATTATGAAGTTTTAGGCAAACATGGCAAAATGTACACACTGCAAGCAGAAGATAAAACTACTATTGCCAGACCTCGTTTCAAACTTGTCAAAGTTCAAGGTGGTATACTTTCAAAGACAGTTCCTAACAAATATAAGACAACTCCTGACGAATATGCTAAAGAAGTTGAAAATGACGACTAAGCAATTCTATACCATGCGTAAACTGTCATGTAAGGTGGCATGTAGTCTTTACTCTGCCCCGTTGTTTGCGTATACCCTGAAACGCGATGTGTATGGTTTCCATCTCCCTGAGTGTTACCCCAGAAACAATTTATAGCAAACTGAACTTCGTCTTTAACATCATATCCTTTACCTTTTTTCATTGCTGACCAATCCCAAAATCTATGCTTATGCCAACCTGCTTGAGATGTACTTAAATCTATGTAGTGACTGTGCGCAGGTAAGTTTTCACCTGAAATCGTTTTACTTCCACCTGTTTCCTTTGAAGAGTTTGCACAATACAAAAACCTGTCGACTATTTGTTCCCATGCACCAACACCAAACATTACTTGAGGACCTCTTGCTTCCATAGATGTATAAATAGAACCTACTGGGTTCATTAAATCAAACATATGAGATATTATAGGATTGTCTCTTTTGAACTTAAAATATAGTGCAACTATTTCAGGTTTCTTCTGGTTTGTGTCAGAATATTTTTTATAATATAATCTTATGTTTTCAGGGTAGGTAAAATCTTGACTATAATATTTATTTCTGTCATCTTCATAATAGTATACTATTCTCGTTTTTTCTATTGCATTATATCTTTTATATCTATAATATTCTAAATATAATGTTTGCTTTTTTGGGTCTACACGTGCGTCAGCACCATAGTCATAATAATATGGTGCTGGAGCTGGGTCAGGCAATGTCATATCTGCCATTTCATAAACTCTTAAATATTTTTTTTGTTCGTCTCCATATATGTTTAAGTAGCAGTTGTTGTCTAATGGAACTTTAACTTGTGTACCATCATTCTTTATATAGCTTACATACATTTCATTGTTATTTTTCGGAATGAGTTTATACCGTATACCATTTTTTAAGGAGTGTACCAACTGCCATCTAAAATATTTATTTTCTTCATTGACAGAAAAGTCACCAACAATAGTTTCAATATTTTTTGTT